ATGCCACCCACCTCCTACCTCCAACTGTGGGGATATGCTGAGAGCGAAAATTGGCTTTGAAAATTAAACCAAGCAAATTATAAGTAGGCTTTGGGCTGGATGGACACAGAGGTGGTGAAAGTAAAACTTGAAGTTTGGGGCAGAACTTTTTGCTCTCTGGAAGCTTGGATATGGGCAGAAATAATGACATCATGAAAGAGGTCAATATTTACATGAACACTGCACTAGGCCCAGATGTAGGACCATAAAGCTGGAATTTATATCTAGTCTGCTTGATTTGGGAGGGCTTTTTGATCACTTCAAAACTGGACACCGACATCTGGGTCTAAATCTTCCATCAAAACTGTCTATTAGGGCTTTCCTGGTGGAACAGTGGATAAGAGTTCACCTGCTAATGCAGAAGACACTGGTTCAAGCCCTTGTCTGGGAAGATTCCACCTGCCCCGGAAAACGCCAGTCCTCAAACCACAACCACCGAGCTTGTTCACCTACAGCCTGTGCCCTGCCACAAAAGAAGCCACTGTAGTGAGGAGCTCTTGCACCGCAACTAGAGAATAGCCCCACTCACCCCAACTAGGGGAAGCCTCCAAGTAGCAATGAAGACCCAGTGAAACCAAAAAATAAAAACAATATTAATAAGAATTCTTCCTCACTACTTTATTAAAAAATTGGTTATACTAAATACATGATATTGGATAATTCTGTGTGACCCATGTATTGATATTCCCAAGTGGTTCAGTGGTAAAGAATCTACCTCCAAGTGCAGGAGATGCAGGAGACCTGGGTTCAGTCCCTGGGTTGGGAAGATCCCCTGGAGTAGCACATGGCAACCCACTCCAGTATTCTTGCCTGGAAAATTCCATGGACAGAGGATCCCAGTGGGCTGCAGTCCATGGGATTGTAAAGAGTCAGACATGACTGAGCAAAGGAGCACACACACTGTGTATTAATAGATAAATCTTTGAAGTTAATCTTACACAAATATCTATGACAACTGCTGCCAGATGAAGTCCATTGCTGTCTTTCCAACTGGAAGCCATTGGGCTCCTCAAATCAAGGACCCGAACAGTAGAGTCCTAGAACTGTATGATCTTAAACATGGTCTTTTATTCTGTCCTTTGCAGCAGATATTCCTTGAGGGTGTGTGCGAGCTCAGTCACTTCAGTCATGTCTGACTCATTGTGATCCTATGGACTGTAGCCCACCAAGGATCCTCTGTCCATGGGATTTTCCAGGTGAGAATACTGGAGTAGGTAGGCATTCAATCCTCCAGGGGATCTTCCTGACCTAGGGATTGAACTTAGTGTCTCTTGAGTCTTCCACATTGCAGACAGGTTCTTTACCCCTAGCACTACCTGGGAAGCCCATCTTTGAGGGTAGTTTGAACATATTCATTTAAGCTTAAAAGCAGAAAAAAGTAAACCAGACATGTATGTAACTTTTAGTTTCTCTTTTTGCATTAGAGTCTTCAAAACTGGGTATTAATAATTTCAGGCATTAAAGTTATAGTATATTTCTGGCCTTTTATGAAATTGTTTTGGGAACAGTAAATTTTTCCATGCTTTGAAATCAATGCTAACTTGTACTTCTAAGGAAGTTTCATAAATATTTTTTAGAATTCATTTTCTTTTTATGAACTTATATATGCCCATTGTGTTTAATACTGAAAAGTATAAAAGGAAATAACACTATGCAGCTATAACTAACCACTGTTAATAGTTGAACATATTTTTTCCAGCACTGTTTCTGGTAGGTACACAATTTTTTCTTACACTGTTGGATATAGGGTCTGTAGATCTTGTAATGATGTTTGTGTTGTTTTTTAGTCATCAAGTCGCATCCGACTCTTCTCGACCCCATGGATGGCAGCATGCCAGCCTTCCCTGTTCCTCACCATCTCCTGGAGTTTGTGAAAGTTCATGTCCATTGAATTGGTGATGCTATCCAACCATCTCAACCTCTGTCTCCCTCTTCTTCTGCCTTCAATCTTTTGCAGCATCAGGGTCTTTTCCAGTAAGTCACCAGTTAGCATCTGGTAATGATCATTAGCCAAAAGCAACCAACTCTAAACTAAAAACTTTGTACACTGACAGTAAAGCTGTACCCTCTGAAAGGTAATACTCTGAATCTAATTTAAATGATTTTGTGATCTCTTCTTGGCTTCTGGGTAGTTTAGAAAAACTTCCTATTCATTACCATCACCAGTATTCTGGAGTTATGCTTTCAAACAACTGCTAGGTTAAAAAGAGGAAGACAGTGAGAGAAAGGCCAAAAACTCCCTATGAAATCTGATTTTGAATCTTTGACAGGAAAAAAAAAAGTAATTAACTGTTCCATTCAGTTTCATATTGTCATGGTGTGACTGAAATGCAAAGCCAGATGACACAATTAAATCATTTACTTTAAAAAAAAGCACACTTAGAATACCCAAACAAGGATGATGGTCTCTCACTGATTCACTGGAACTTTTTCACTGCTCCTTCCTAAGACAAAAGCTGTGTGTTTTCAGCAGCAACAGCCGTGCGGTTGGTCCTTGTCCAGGGACCAACCAAGGCAAACTAAACTTGCTGAGGATCGATCGAGAACCTTATCAACCCCGAATGCTAGACAAAGGTCGGTGTAATGAGACTGCTTTAAGTAAAATTGCTAGTCGACAGAATGGATAAACCATGAGGTAATATTTGCTTTAGGAAAAAACTCCTTCCCTGAATATCCTTTAAATAATAGGCTCTCTTGGTCCACTTAAAACAAGAGCCAACAATAGTAAAACATACCTTTGAGGAACTTCCTATTGAAGAGAGTCCTATACACGACGAGAACTTCCTGTTTTGCTGGGAAATCTCTTAAACAATACTATTTGACATATATAACACAACAAATAATTACCAGAATTTTAATTTTAATTATAGGGCATGTAATATAATGTTACATCAGAGCTGCAAGCTAAATGAGCTTCCTATTTCTCAAGGCCTTGTTCTGTCTGGAATTTTAAAAGGTCTTTTAAAATTAAAAAAAAAAAAAAGAAAATGGAAATATTTCATGGAAGTAAGGAAAACATCTAATACTTTCAAATAATTGCTAAATACCTGAACCCAGGAGGTGGAGGTCACAAGCTTACTACCAACGCAAGCTTAACAACCCTAAATGGGAGGTAAAAGGCTTGTGCCTGGGTGTACAATTACTTTATTACTTCTAATAATTAATTTACTTACTACACTAAGTAAACTTTAAGAGATGGGGGAGGGGGTGCAAAATAATATGAGAAAGACAGGCTAAAATACATGCAGACATACCAATCCCTCATTCAAAAATTATGAATTTCCGGAGGCAGAGCATTTAACAGGGCACAGCTCCAAGTGCAGGGCGTTTGCGAGCACACAGGTTACACGCCTATGAATGTAGACGTGCACAGGAGGCCTTCTGTATCCTCCTTTAAGGTACGGTGATTTCCACGCACCCTCTCCCTTCATGAGATGCCTCACGTTGCGGGCCTGGGCCCTCGGGTCACAGCGCACCACTGCAGATAGCCATGCTGGATGTTGGCTTCTGCTGCCTTCACAGTTCTGAATTTTTAGGTAAAACATTCAGCACAGCTCTTATTTACCCTGAAACCACTGGGGCAAATGTCATAAAACAGATTTTTCTTTCCTTCTCCTTCTATACTAAAAAGAGACAGACTTTTCGAGTTTTGCTTTGCTGTTTACAATCGTGACGTCTGCAGAGGAACCTCAGCTCACAGTTGACAAAGTCGGCTGGGGGCCGGTCTGGGCCCCCCAAAAGCCGGCGCGCCCAGTCTGGGCGCCTATGGGCACGATGCCCGCCTCCCTGCGCGCATTCCACCTCCTTCCCGTCCCCGCCCAGGGATGCGGGTCCCCGTCGCCCCTGGACACCCTGAGAGAGAGAGATGCTTGTTTTCTGGGTGTCTCCCTCCCGCCCAGAGCGAAGCCTCCATCTCTCCCGGGCCCCCAGCTGTCCAGGTGGGCCCCAAGCAGGTCCCCGCCCCGTTCTAGGCGGCCACCCGAGGATGGGGCTGGAGCGGCGCCCGCTATGGGAGGTTGGGCGGGGGGGGGGGGGGGGGGGGCCTCCCAAACCCGCTCCTTCCCGGCCCCTGCGCGCCCCATCCCTTCCCGGGCATCCGCGCTCCAGCCGCCCGTCTCCCACACGTCCCAGCTCTTCCCGGGACAGCGCGGGGACCCCAGCCCCCTCTCTGGCCCCGCGGGGCTCGGGAAGTCAGGGCCCGGCCAGGGAGCCGGGGCGGCCCCGGGGCCTCCGGATCGCTGGGTGCGCTCTCCTCCTCAGGCGTCCCCCCGGCGGCGCCCTCGTGTGCAGGCCGCGCTCGCGCCCGGCCCCCTCCAGCCCGCTTTCCCCGCAGCCCCGCGCCGCCGCCCCCACGGCGCGTCCAGGGCACCGCGCGGCCCGTGCGTGCGCAGCGCCCCCCGCGGCCGAGCGGCGCGCAGACGGCGGCGCCGGGAAGGAGGGCGCCGCCCGCCCGCCCCGGCCCGGCCCGGCCCGGCCCGGCCCCTTCCCCAGTTCGCCGCCCGTCCCCCGCCCCCGGGGCCGCCGGCCGTGTCCGCGCCTCCGCGCCCGCCCCTGATTTCCTCCGCGCGGCGGCGGCGGCGGCGGCGGCGGCAGCGCCTCTTGCGCGCGGTTATTTATTTCCGGGCCCAGAGCGCTTATAATGGAGCCGCTGTCAGCAGAGCCTCCCGCCGCCGCCGCCGCCGCCGCCGCTGCTGCTGTCCCTCCTCTTTTTTTTCCCGGCAGATCTTTGTTGTGTGGGAGGGCAGCAGGGATGGACTTGAGCTTGAGGATCTCCTGCTAGAGCAGCCGCGCTTGGAGAGAGGGCGCCGCAGCCGCGAGGAGGAGCCGCCGCCACCGCCGCCGCCCCGAGGCCCCTCCGGACCCGGCCTCCGCGTCCTCCCGCGCCCCCGCCCGGCCCGCGCCTCCCGGCACAGTCCCCTCGCGGCGGCAGATGTGTGTGGGGTCAGCCCACGGCGGGGACTATGGTGAAATTCCCGGCGCTCACGCACTACTGGCCCCTGATCCGGTTCCTGGTGCCCCTGGGTATCACCAACATAGCCATCGACTTCGGGGAGCAGGTAAGCCCCTGCCACCCCTTCACCGCCCCCCCCCCCCCACTGGGCAGCGGCGCCCCGCACTCTGCACCCCGCGCCCAGCTCCTTGCTCCCTCTCTGCCTTGGCCTCAGATGCCCGGGCATTTAGTGGATGGGGACAGAGGCGAGTCACCTGCTCCTCGAGGCTCTTTTTAAAATCCTAGAACATTTGGTGGGGTTGACAGCTTGTCAAAGATGACTTTCCAGCATTCCATTCCCCCTCCCTCCTCCCCCCAATTATTCAGCAGACTTTTCCAGCTCTCGCTGGAAAACATGAAAAGCCCGGAGGGCTTGGAGCTTCACCTATAGAAAGGTTTTTCGTGCACGGAAGGAGTATTATGTAATTTGTGATTATGTAAACCTCTGGTTTGTGAGTAAAATGTTTCTAATAGCTTGAGTGCCGGCGATTTTATTTATCCCGAGTTTGTGGTGATGGTGATGATGGGGGGAATTTTGCATTAGAATGTGTTCAAGTTGATTTCCCAGGTACTACTACTTTTTTTTTTTTTAAGCTTGTGTGTGGATTAGAGCTGTCCCAAATGTGTTCTGATAAGCTAACCATTGGCCATCTCTAGTTTGGGGTTTCTTTCTTTCTTTCTTTTTCCGTCTTGGATCACCAAAGAAGGGGCGCACACTTTTGTTTGTTGCCTTCTCATCCTTGTTTCTTTTTCCTGTTTTCCCCCATTTCTCTCCATGTGGCGTCATTGCAAATCGAGCGCAGCAGCGGGGTTTGGTGCTTGGCACTTCCCACTCCGCCGGTGGGGACCGTTTTCGCAGGCCTCTTGCGGGATGCGGTTGCATTTTTAAGGCTGGGAAAGAGTGTTGAGGGGAGGGGGCAGCACCTGTCACCTTGATGGGCAGGTGTCCGAATGGCCCCAGGGAGTGATTGAGCAGCACCTGCGTTGTCCTACCGTATTTCTTTTCCTTTAAGTCAACAGACTTGAAAGGATGTTTGTATAGAAAAAGCATCTATTTAGATGCACCTTTAGTTAAAAAGAAAAAAACTAAAACAAATAGTTTTTCAAAGGGGGATACATTTGACTCCTCCTTTTGGTGAGTATCTGCTTCCTTTGTCTCTCTGTGCTCAGAACTTTTGACTGATGCAACTGTTTAGCTACCGAATGCTTAGCCCACCTTAAAAGCTACTGTTTTACTGGGAATTTTATTGCGGACAAGTGTTCACAAGTAGCAAAGCCTCTGGAGACCTCTGTCTAGCTAGGAAACCAGCTTAGTTCTTTTGATGAGACATTATGTCTTTTCTGTTGCCACTTTGCTCTGCCAGCACCTCCCCAGGGTCCCCCAAGGGCTCCACCTTCCCCCCTCCCCTCCCCTTCTTGCATAATTAACTGGTGACTTTGGGCATTTCCTCTAATCTCTGGAAAGCTTTTTAGGCCTGAACTTATTACATTGCACATTTTACACGACTTAAGTTCTATGTGTTCACCTTAACCTTTTACTATTTTCTTATCTTCTCGGAGCTGCCCTAAAGATTCTGAGGTTGCTCAACTGATCCCTCCTTCCTGAACTGTAGTGTGTGTGTGTGAGATAGGGATAACTGGGAGAAATGAGTATTCTTTGCCATAATTAAACGGCCTGAAACATACCACAGTGTTGCCTCACATTTGCCTTGATTTAATGCAAGGTGATATAATTAAGAATTTTACTTTAGTGTAAAGAAAGGCGCCTCCCTGAGGTCATAAAAGGGAGGCTAGACATGAAAGAAGCCATACAATCAGTCTATCCTAGTGGGTCTAATTGAAACTCATCCTTTAGACGCTCAACTCCTGTTGTAGGTGACATAAGCAAAGTGCTAAGGGAGTCATCTTGTTTCACAGAAGCAAGTTTTATCAACAAGTGTTGTTTGTTTGTTTGTTTGTTTTTTGAGGCCCTTATCCCTTAAGTGCCAGTGTATTTATGAGGTTACAGGCTGCCTGGTGGTGGAGATAGTTTATCAGAGTTGAGAGTAGAGAGATGGAGGGAAGAAATTGATATGTTTCCAAAACCTTGCTTTGCCTTCTGGCATCAGATGATAATTTGACAAATTAGGGCAGTGTGCAAAGAACAAAACTGACTTTTTCTTATTGTAAAACTGAAGGGGAAAATTAAAGTGTGAGCTAAAGAGTGACTGGGTCTTAGGTGGGTCCTGAACAAAAGAACATTTTAGCGCAACTGCTTTGAGGCACAATAAAGAGGAGGAAAAATGATCCCATTATACGCAAATATGGGTCTACTTGAGACTTCTGAAAGTATGCAGCTCTTACATGGAAGCTTATCTATTTCTCTAGACGGATGGACACATGTAGGTTTTACCTTCTTTCCAAGCAGGAAGGTGTGTTACACCTTGCTCTGGGTGAACAGTGATTCACATTTCAGTAACTTACTATTCCTCAAGTAGGCAGGTGACATGGGTGTCCAGAGGTCGAGACAGCCCCTGGTACACAAGCTTTCGAGAGGATGAAGAAACCCAAAATTCAAAAAAAAAAAGCATCTCATTAGCTTTTAAGTTTTGAGAATGAAAGGATACTGAAATCATTTTAAATGTTTCTTAGGTGAAGGTTTTTCTGTTCATAAACATCTCCGTTTGTGGTTTCTTTAGAAAATGTGGACAGAACTTTTAAAATGAAAATCCAGCTATATGCAAGATTCCCCTGAAATTTGAATAAGCTGTCCATGTGACCCTGTGAAGTTATTACAGTCATCTCAGAGCTGTTAGTGTTGGGGGGGGAAGGCGCTGTGAAAAAGCCTGTGACAGTCCATCCAGGGCCTCCTGATGGTTTTCCGTGGACATTATCTGTTTTGTATATCTTTTCCTGTAATGTTAAGGTCAACCAAGGAAGAAACCCGAATATTATGGAATATTTATTCTAACAAAATCTTGCATCACACTTTTTGGTTTTGATGGTGGCAGTAATTTGGAGGATGGGGAACGTGTTGAATTCTACACTGAAAAAAAAAAAGGCTATATGGAATAGAATGACCTGCTTCTTAATATTAAGCATAGGCATCATAGAAAAAAATGGACTTCCCTGACGGTCCAGTGGTTAAGACTCTGAGATTCCAATGCAGGGGACAAGGGTTTGACCCCTGGTCAGGGAACTAAGATCCCACATGCCATGCAGTGTGTGAAAAGGAAGAAGAAGAAGAAAGAAAGAGAGAGGACACACCCTTTATTGCAGAAACTAAAATAATGTTTGTAGAACCCTTTAGGTGTGTCGAACACTGAAAATTGTACTATATGTGAAATTATCATTTTACCTCTATTTTCACAGACTAAGACTCAAAAGGATTCATTGCTTCCGTTCATTGAGCCCTTCATTTGTATTTGTAATGTCGCAGCACATGTTATATTTGAGAAAAGAATCAGAGGCCTAGGCGTGTTAAGGCATAAGTTCACAGAGGCAGTGCAGGGCAGAGTCAGGGTTCAAACCATATCTCCCTGGCCCTGAGCCATTCTGGTCTCTGCTTATGCTCTGAGAGCCACCCCAGGAATTTTCTTAGAAATTTAGAAGCAAGTTCTGGCTTTTCTAATCCTAGACTTGGTTTAGATGTAATCTTAGCTGTCGTATTTTGAATTTTAAAAGACAACAGATGTAGGATGGTCATAACAAGGTCTTTCAGGAAAAGGAGATTGTGACCAACAGGGTCATATAAGAAGGGCTCAATTATCTAGATCATTAATTAAATCAACTCTGTATCTTACTTTAATGAGATCAGCATAGCCTTTGGTTAAAAATGAGGGGGAAAGGTAAGAAACAACTGATATTGCCCCAAATTGTGCAGAAATCACTTAGTCTTTATCATTCGAGCGATACAGATTGCTCAGGAAAGAAGGAAGATGCAGAGATAAGTTTTGAACGATGTGTTTCTTCAGAAGTGTCTGCAAATGTCCATTTGATGTCACTGTATCCAGAGGGCTGTGATTTCTGTTTAAAATCAAACTTGATGCAAAGTCCTCGAATTCCTTAAAAGCCAAGTTCACCAAATTATGTAGACTAAACCAGTAATTTGTTTTTTAAGGTATATATTGACACTTAAAGGTGGCACTATTGGTAAAGAACCCTCCTGCTAATGCTGGGAACCTAAGAGACACGGGTTTGATTCCTGGGTGGGGAAGATCCTCTGGAGGAGAGTACGGCCACCCGCTCCTGTATCCTTGCCTGGAGAATCCCATGGACAGAGGAGCCTGGAGGGCTGCAGTCCATGGGGTCGCACAGACATATGCCATGACACTTAAAACGTTAAGGACGGCTTTGCTGTGGAGATTTGAAAGAGAAAAAAGATGAAGATGGTCTCACTGAGGAAGAAATGTGTTCTGTTCAGTGCCAGGCAGTTTGACACCCAAGAGATTACTTGTTATTGCAGGTTATTTCAGATAACCGTGAGTGAATCAATCAATTTGGTTGGGGCCAATATGATACATGAAAGACCCAAGTTATCTGTGAGCAAAGAGCTTTGCATATGAATTGTTAATTACTAGAGTAAGATGTGTGACAGGAATGTTTCACCCAGCCCCCTTTCTTACTTGTGAAACCTTTAGTTAGGTTTCCATGGTATAAGAGGGTTTCAAATTACTAACATCACAAAATGGAAAAAAAAAGAGAGAGAGAGAGAGAGAGAGAGAGAGAGAGAGAAGCCCCAGAAATGTAGCTTAATAAATATTCCCCTTGTCGACTAGTAGAGAAATGAACTCTACTAGAGTACTAGAAATGAACTCCAGCCCACCCCCATTTTAAAAAGGTCTCCAGGAGGTATGGGAATGTTTTTTAAGTGAATGTTGTACATGGTACTACCCACTTCATCTAAGGTCGCTAAGTGATGGAGGAGACGTCCCCAGGGAGAGCTTGCCCTCAGCAATAACAAAAGTGGCCATCGCATGTTTCACTTTCCAAAGTACTGACAGACAGAAAAGGTGATCCCAGAATGAGTTTCTAAGTAACTGTAGGTGAGAGACTTTTTTCCGCCTTCAGTCTATTCTGTCCTCATGG